ATAGGCAGTGACCACATTGGGCCATTTGTGTAGATCTTTTAGATCAGTGTTTGTCAACCTTGGCGACTTTAAGTCCTGTGAACTTCAACTCTCAGAATTCCCCAGCCAGCACAGCACAGCTGGCTGGGGGATTCTGGGAGTTGAAGTTCACAGGACTTAAAGTCGCCAAGGTTGACAAACACTGATCTAAAAGATCTACACAAATGGCCCAATGTGGTCACTGCCTATTTTGTAGAATTATCCCAAAGAGAGAACTGAAGAAAAAGCTCTAGAAGTTGTAAATCAGTTGTAAACTATATTATAAATTAATGCCTGCTAATTTCAATAAACACCTGGTACATTTTAAAATATCACAAACATTTATACGTTCAGAATAAAATATTCTTAATGTAAAGGACACCTTATTGTATTAGCTCTTCTTTAAAAATTAAGGGTTCTTAAAATATAGTGTATGTCTTTCTGCTCTCATTTTATAATGTGCTATTATCTACAAATGTTTAAAATATTTATCAATGTCAGTGACGGATATATCAGGGAAGAAAAAAGTTGTAAGTCAGATAGTAATAAATACATACCATTTTTTTTCAAACTGTTCATCCATTTATCCAGTTCTTCCATCTCAATTTCCATTACAGAAGGCGTATCTTCCTCAAAAATAGGACTTAATAAACAAAAACAAAACAAAATATTTTGGAGCTGGCAGTTTAGAATTGCTTTTCTTAGTTTTCCGCTAAAATTGTTTATATCGGGCACATGCTCAAGGATAGCAACTGGTGGCTTTAGTTTGAAAAATTAAATATTATTCATTAGGTTACATTAAATTAGCAACTGCAGAGCATAGATATGATAAGACAGGTACAGTAGATGTGCACATGCAAAAAGCTAGAAGATTTGGGGTACAAAATTGCACACACTGATTCAGAGGATTGTAAAGATTAATGCTGAACAACTGAAACAGAACTTTGGCTCTTGAGACTAATGGTTAAACAATGGGGGGAGGGGGGAATCATGGAATGTTGTTTTTATATATGATAATCACAATTAGGTTACCGTACATGCAAAAATGGGAAGATTTGGCAGTACCTACAGTGGAGAAATAGTTGGTGAAGATGATAGAACTTGCTGAGATGGTGAAATTGACCTGTTTGATTAGAGAAAAGTCAATGCAGGTAGTCCTTGACTTATGACCATGAGCCCAGAATTATGGTTATAAGGCAGCCATTAAGCAGGTCATCACATTACCATGCCTGATTTTACAATCCTTTTTTACAGAGGTTGTTAAATTAATGTTGTGGTCATTAAGTGAATACAGCAGCTGTTAACAAATGCAGCAGTTAAACATATTTTCTTCTAGGGGCCACACAACATGGGCTTTGTAATATTGTTGCACTTGATAAATATGGGTTTTTCTTCTATTTTAATTTGATTGTTGATCGCTTTTAATTTGAGGTTAATAGCTTATCAAACTTGCAGATTGTAATGTATAAACATCTTTATTCTGTTGCTGGATGGATAGATTGATAATTTCTAACATTCCTAAACTGCAAGCAAAAACTGTCATGGCTCTCCAGCCCACAATAGAATCGGACTGTGTAAATAGGATGACTGTAGTTTGTCTTCTGATAAAAGAGTTTGTTAGTATTAATTGGCAACGTTTTTGTCTCTTTGTAAACTCTAAGCAACCTTATGGCATTTTCCTTCATTAACATCTTAAATTTTAAGCCCTCGTTCGTCAGAACTCATTTAAATGTGGTATTACGGATGCAAATATGTGATATGTTTAACTTCATGTAAATGATTTCCTATGCAAAGGGGAAGATACTTTTGTCCTGTCCAATCAACTTTTCTTTTGTAATTTCCTTTAATGTCTTAATTAATATAGGGAATGTTATGAGTTTTGAGGTTCCCTCTTTAAATGAGAGGATTTTTTTATCAGAACTTTCTGAATAAATCATAATAAAATCATCTTCCTGACTCATCTGCTTTATTGAATCTATGCATGCCGAGGCACAAGCCTAGGGCCAGATTTGGCTATCACTTCTTTTGAATATGATAATAGGAAGGGAAACCTTGGATGAAGGTTTCCTTCTGGTCCGCCTGTCAGATGTAAAAGACTGGAGGATTAAATTGATTGGTTCACACTACAGGCGGGAAATTCAAGAGAGCTAATGGCTGAGCTGTCAGATTCCCTTTAAAAGAG